TAAAAATTGTTATCAGTTGTTAAAAAATATCAAATAATTTATTATAGTAGATAAAATAGATTGTGAATTTACCGAATATCTACATTCAGTAAACTGTAATTATCTACATCAATGACTATAAATTTTTTAAATCGACAAAGAATCAAGAGAATATTATAATTATCAGATAGAAGAGATAGGAAGTTGCATAAAAAAATGTTAAAACTCAACTTTGAAAAATTGATAAAGTATAAACGAAATGCAAGTAAATAAAAAATAATTTAAATAACAACTCGAAACGCGTATTTAAATTTAAAAGAAAAACATCCCTTTTTACTATATTTATTATTTTTTATTTATCAATATTATACAAAATTATAATCTGAGACTAGCATAAATTGTTAATTTCTAAAACTCAACGATAAAAATAATTTCGTAACTCTAGAACACTAATGTTATGAATACTATAAATTAAAATATAAAGAATATAGATATATAAAAATAGTAAGAAAAGCGCAGCAAAGAGGCTAATGAGCATTCCGAGCAGGCTTGGCGATCAGCTGTTTCAAGATGACAGCTGATCCGGTACTTGGTGCGTAGTACAATGCGACGGAATGATTAGGAGATATATCGTGTAGTGATAAGGAGAGATAACAGCTCGAAAATGGCCACAAGAAACTTAACCGAACCTTTCGTTTTGATGCGAAATAATGCCCTGCAGAGTAGGCACATTTATGCCGAACAGGTGCGTGTACTTAACCTATTTCAATCTAAAATTGCTTTTATCTTTATCCTATAATACTTATACGCTTTAAATTAAATTTTTCAGAATCTTACTGATAGCGTGGCACTGGTGGAATCGGATTCCGGTGCATCCGACAATGTCGAACTGAAGGGTGTGGATAGTGATGCACCGCCCACCTGGGCAGATGCCTTGGAAGAAACACAATACATCCTGAGCAGATTACGGGTGAAGATAGATAGCCTGGTCGAGCTGCACTCTAAACAGCTCACCAGACCTACTCTGGATGATACGTCCCAGGTTTGCAAATTCCTAATGCTGTAATTCGGTTTCTCAAGCTATCAAGATTCAAATAAATTATTCTATCACTTGTTCTCTTGCAAAAAAAGAATGCATCGACTAAGTGAAATGCTTAGAATTTATAATAATTGTAACTATGAGGATTTGAAATATATTTTATATTACTGTGTAGGAGGAAAGACAAATGGAACAACTGACACGAGAAATTGGACGTGCATTCTCTAATGGTTATAGACAAGTACAAACAATTAAGTCAGCTGGCAGGCACGAAACTAAATCTGCGGAACGTCGACTAGCTAATAGTGCGGTAATGGCACTTTCGACTGCTTTACAGGAGTTAGGTCTTCGATATAGAACTGCACAGAATCATTATCTGACACGTATGTTCTTCGTAATTGAATAAAAATAATCAACTATTAATATATTCAGAAACTATACATTTTGCGGGTTGTCTCCGTTCAGATCCATTATTAAAATGTCAACATTTCGTAAACATTGCAGTTCACTTCATCAGGGCGAAGAGCTTAATACGCTTCTCTGAAGATTTGCTTTTTATACGTTGTTTAGAGCTAGGAGATATAAAAGAGGAAAAGAGTTGGCCAATTTTCGGTAACTGATTTTCCGTATTCTACTTATGCTCTACATTATCTCTATTTAGATTATCGGGATGTTTTTGTATCTCTATAACTTGTCTATTCTTAGAAAATATGATGTAGTACAATATTTGGTGTCCTATCTTAATGTCCTGTTTTGATAATGATTGTGATATGTTTTAACGTTACGTTGATGTTCTTTTATCTAGATTGATTATTCTGGTTTTTCCAATGTGAAAGACTTATCCGCAGAAGCAAAGTATTTTATATACTTCCGCAAAACTAAATGAGGGTCTTTGGTGTTTAGAGTTTTTTTTAGCCCTATTTGGGAGAGAAAGGAGGTTTAAAGATGATTCGGGTATTGTGCTTATTCAATATTCTGTCGATCTGTTATTCCTTTAACTTATGGAAGGATGGAAGAAAATTCTTTTGTCTGATAGGATTCGTTATCTTTCTTGTGTACAAAAGTATACAAGAATAAAGTCAATTTACGCATAAAAGAACATCACGTAACGTCAGATTAAAACATGTCACACAGATTATTAGAATTCAATATTAAGATAGGAAATCAAATATTGTTTAATTAAATGACTGGGAAAAAAAAAGCTATAGAGATACAAAAACATCCCGATAATCTAAATAGAGATAATGGCTGTGTAAATATATATGGAAAATTATTTTTCCGATTATCGAAGATTGACTGTCCTTCCTCTTTTCTGTCTACTTCAGTGTATATAAAGAAAATTCTTCGCGGGAACAGCTAAGAATCGTCGCAGTCCTCGCTCTAATGAAGTCAACTGTAATGTTCATGTTGGTATTCATTGTTATTTCCGTAGATAATCCGCGAAATGCACAGCTTCTGTACAGAAAATACCCATAAAAGCTTCAAAAGCAACTGTTGATATTTTTAATAAACTAATATTATTTACCTCCAATAAATCTTTGCAGAGGTGAAATCAAGAGAAGAGAGAAATAACCAGTTCTTCGCAGAAGATCAATCTCTTTTAAATAATCTAGCAACTGATTCTTGGGTGACAGAACTAAATGAGGCAGCTGGTGATTATTGGCCAAAAAATGAACAAAGACAGGATTCGGTTTTACTGCAGTTGGAGGAGCCGGAAGATAGGATGAAATTAGCAATGGAAAGAGAGGAACAGATTGGAAGTATAGTTCAAAGCATAGCAGACTTAAAACATATTTTTAAGGTAAATTATATGTATATATAAAAATTATTATAAATACTCATGATAATAATTACAAGAAAAACTCTTCGATTTGATAAATTCAAATTGTTTTGATATTTATTTCGATATTAGTGCATATTGTAACATGAGTAGCATGATAAAGTCTTGTACAAAAATCTGAATTTTTATGTTGTACAGGATCTTGCAGTAATGGTACAAGATCAGGGTACTATTTTAGATCGAATTGATTACAACATAGAGCAAACGCAAGTACAAGTACAGGAGGGCTATAAACAATTGAAGAAAGCTGACTCGTATCAGAAGGCTAATAAAAAATTGTATTGTATCGTGATTCTCGCGGCCGCTATCATATTACTTAGCTTCTTGTTCGTCATATTTAAGACGTAGAATCAACTATAATTAGAATAAAATTAACGTGAAAATATACTTGTTGGTATTTATCGTGTTCCATAAAATGAAACGTCTTTATAAAACTGTACATATTGATGGAAAGAGCTATTTTTTAAAATAGTCCGTGCAATTTTCCTTAAGTGTTATTGTCAGAAAAGAACAATTACATTCATAAAATTATGACGAAATGTTTGTTCGGTCCATCTGTTCATGGATTATATACAATATCAAATAATACTATGAATGTGGCATTAATCTTTTTAATCAATGTCTTGCTCTGTATAAATTAGTTTTAAAAATAATTCCTCATAATATCGTAATCCTCATAATACCTGCAATTTTAAATGGTTTCGCTGTATTTTAATTCTTATAGTATATACTAAGAGTGACGGCAAAAATAACAGATTTATGAATAATTTATAGAATAATTTATTTATATATATATTTCACATTAACTGTATATTTTTTATAGCGATAAATTATGTTTTTTTATTTATGTTTAATATTGTAACGATAAAAATGAAAAAAATGCAGTTTGACTTTTTATATCTGTATTGTAAACTGTTCTGTACATCTAATTGTTAAATGATCATTCCATAATAAAACAATGACTGAAGTTAAGTCTTGTGAACTATACATATTTTCTTGTGTGTACATACACAACATGATCTATATAAGATATTACAAATTAATTTTTGGAAAGCAAAAAAGATAACAATAAGATCCTGTTGATACTTTAAAATTAACTGAGAGCTTTTTGTAACAAATAGGATTATTCGCTGTTATACTTTCGAGAGAGGCAGGGGTGATGATTTCTCCTATTTTCGGTTTAAATAAATTTATAACTTCTTATATAAATCGGTTCTCATTTTGTATGTAAAAATACGTATCTACCAAATCTAATATGCTCAAGATTTATGTCTCCTAAGTCTCTTCTACTTCATTGCATCTTCTTGAACATTGCATTTCCTATCACAGATTGCGTATTAAGTATTCTTGTATCCGTACGTATCCCTGTCGTCATAGCTAATATCTACATATGAACTTTCATTTTAATAAAACTTCTAAAAACCATGTTACTACACTATGAACTATAAATGATACGTTTTAATGTTTATTTTACCTCCTATAGCTACAATAACTCGCTTACTGCTAATATCAAATTCGTAATATTATATTAAATACATTTTAGGCTTACCGTTACAGCATGTATTATAACATATAAGTTTAAATACCGCACATTTAATACAACAAAAGAATATTTCTTGCATTTTCATGATACGTTATCAAAGAGTAATATAAAAATCTGTGTTTAAAATATAATAAAATTATGAAAAGTACATTTCTCTTTTTTAAATCCAGCTTTAAATTGAATAAACTAATTAACTTAATTGTAACATATGAATGTTAATTAACATATACAATTAGATATCATAAATAAAATTATGTAAAATATAAATAAAGTTTGTAAATTAAGTGTAAAATAAAAACTATTAAATAATAAAAGAAGATGCAAAAAGTAAATTTTGTGAAAACATTTTGTACTAAAAAGGTAGTATTACATATATATATAGATTATACTAATAACAAAGTGTTACTAGCCTATTTTAAAAGTAATCACAGCTTATATAATAAGAGATGTAAAGGCATATTACACGGCGGATTAAAGATAAGTAAAACTTAAGACGAGATAATCGTCTTACTTCGTGATATCCTGAGAAAAAAATGTTTTATATATAATTATATATTGATATATAAAATTATATAATTACATATAAAACATTTTTTCCTCGAGATGTGTTTTCATTTGCAAATTGTCAAGATGTCAGAAAATAAAAATACACGTAATGTAAAAATGCTTGTGCGTTTGAATAAGCACAATTGTCCGGCCATTCTAAAAACTTAACGTTCTTACATAAAGATAAATTTTATCATAAAGATAAAAATTATTAAAGGCATTCCTATTTATACATAAATGTGCATAAAAAAAGCAGTTAACTTAATCGGCAAACACAGATTAATCCTAAGTACATACATAGTATCAGAATTTATATCAAGAGTTTCGTTGTAATATTCGTTATTCTTTACGAAACTCGTTACAATACAGACTCCAACAGTTATATATTAACTGTATATACACTTTACGAGATGTAGAATCTAATAAGGATGTATTTGTGGAGAGATCTGTAATGTATAGTCATGAAAAATTTGTCAATAATATAATATTGCACCTAAAAACAAATTATTAAATTTAAGTGCAATTACTATTGATATTATCTCATACATAATATGCTTAGCAAATGGAATGTTAACAAGCGCGGACAGATCTAAAATAGATAAAAAGTGGCATTTAAACTCATCTTTTTCCGCACGTTGTAAGTCACTACTCGCTGAGTAAATGTTGTAATTATCATTGCACTTTAATTTTCGCTACGCTACGGTGCGTTCCACTTAACTTTCGCAACGCTCACGTGCATTATTTCGTCCCCAACATTTATTGACATGAATAAAATGATGCTCGCAAGCGTTGCAAGCGTTAAGTAAAATGCATCCTAGGAGATATCTCGACGAAACAATTAAATAGTTATGTACATTTAAAAATCGGTCGTTTCCTCGCGAAGGATATAATATGGAAAGAATATAAAAATAATTTCAATAGTATATACAAACACATTTACTCAGCAATCTCTTGATATAAATGTTAAGAACTAAGCGATAGTCACCCATACGAATTGAGCAGGAGTCACACAATGTTAATGCGTCTACAGGATGCATCACCACATCCGGAAATCGAACAATTTCTTTAAACAATGTTTTTAATGAAAAATTAAATATTACAAAAAATCCTTTTACATGGCACTTGAGGACTCCCTCCCTGTAGATCAATTATTCGATATATCCCCTATTAGCTTGAATGACAGCTTTTATTTTCGATTTGAAGCGTTTGCACGCTATAATGTAGCGCTGTCCATGCTGATGAATGTTGCCTCAATAGCGATCCTTAATGACGTCACATTGGGATGCCGAGACTTGTTGATCCTTTCAACTTTCACTCCATACATAGTAGTCCAAGGGATTTAAATTTGGGCTGTTGGGAGAGACCAGAATGGGAGTTGAGGCGAGCAACACAGCTTGTCCTGGCAGTCTCAGAGAGCATCTGTCGTGTATCTTTAATGTGTACGATTTGTATCGAAGGTCCTCCTCGGCATTGTTGGCTCGCTTACACCAATAATCGATGCTAATTTTCGCACGATTATCCTGAATCATCTGAAATCAGCGCTTGAGCCTTTTCAACGATTGCAGGAGTCCTCGTGGTGTATTCTTTCGAGTGACTCTTCCTCGCTGGCATACTGGAACCTTCGTTGGACTGTTCTAAAGCCATATATTTTGCAAAACGTCATAAACGATTGATCTCGGGTATCCAAAGAATTATTTCCATTGCTGAGTGCTCAGCACGAAGGCCTTGGATGATCGCGATTATACTCCGCACTTGGTTTCAATATCGCATTTTGAGAATGACTGTTCATTATACTCAATAACTGTTCACTAGAAGCATCAGACTTTCTCGGACGCCAACAACAACCTCTGGTTGCGGAGGCACAATATAGCGGAAAATTTAAATTGAAATTTGTTCGAATGATTTTGATGACGCACCCTGTATATATAAAATAATTTTGCTAAGATACGATTGAGTCGCGCGAGTAGTTGTCTCAGGTGTTTGTGGTGCATAAAATATGCGCCACAATTCCAAGCGCACCGCCCAAAACGAAGCGAACAAAGTTGTTACCAACTAGAGGTCCTAATGCATAAAGTCCTTTTATCGGCGCGTTAATCATCTCATATGTGAAATCATCGATTTCAATTGGATTAGATTTGCTATCAATCGGCTTATCTGCGAATTTACCCAATTCCGTACCGCCACCTTCTAAATATGACAAGTCTGGTTTGTATCCTGAAAAAAATTATTGAATACAGTAACAGCGACGAATTTACGAACTGAATTTACGAACTCAATACTAAAGCCAATATCTATTATCATATCCAATCTATAAGTTTTACTAATTTGAGTTATTATTAAGAAGTATATAGATGTTTACCGATAAGAATGGCTGCAATAGATATTGGAAATGTGTGCAGCTGACCGTTTGGAGCGGAAAGTGTGACTGTCCTCCTTATGTTTCCTTTCTCGCAATTTTCAGAAAGACTGACGAGTGTATATCCTGGCAAAGACTTGTACAAAGGATAATTTGTACCTCCGTCAGCCATCATTTCATACACTTTATGATACTCCGGATATATGGAATCCGGTAGCCATTGCAGTCGATCATAACTAGTAGTTATTCTCCCAGCGGTCTGTTTGCCCCACTCGTTTAACGAGTTGCGGAATGCGTGTAACACAGGTATGCCTCGAAAGCGTGCGGCCATAATCGCGTCGGCTGCGCTCAGACCAGCTCCGATTACTAACACGGGTGGGATCTGTTCATCGGTCGAATCTTTGCCTATGGTTAACAATTTATTAAATGAGAATAAATCATGAACAAATTATGTAATAAATAAATGTATAAAAAAGACAAGTTTTTCCAGAAGCTGCATCAAATTAAGTGCAATCATCTCTCTTTATATAACTTTTCCTTTACGTACCGTACTCGTTAACCAAACATCCTAATCGAGTCTCAAGATCGTTAAGATCGTGTGTCACCCATTGGCGATTTGTGTTCTCCCCTGAAATGCCCAGATGATTGGATAAATCGGTCGTGCCAGTTGCAAGAACCGCCCTTTTACATCGATATCGAAATCGTTTTCCATTTTTGTTCTCGTACCCGTCTACAATCCAATTGTATCCTCCTTTGCTCTCAGGCGAGTCCGAATTCGGTCTTACTGAAGTAACTGTGGTCCCACTGCAAATAGATTATTTCGTAAAAGTCCGCGTTGATGTCGATAACGGTTTTGTGTCAAATATTTCAAATATATACCATCGGAAATATTGTGTCAAGCCTTTCCTGTGCACGTAGTCTTTGTAATACGTTGCCACGGTACCCATAGAAACTCGACTAGACGCCTTACAAACATTCAGTTTTTCTAGGCGCGCATATACATCATTCTCTGCGGCTAAAACCGATTTTTGTAACTGTTCGGCTTCGACAAGTTTCTCCCACTGCCTCAGATCCAAATCGGGAAGTGACATCCATCGGCTCAGACTGATAGTCAGTACATTGGGATCCATAGACTAGAGATAATCATATTAAAAAAATGTTAAATTAAATAATACGGAAAGAGCTTTTCATAATATATAAATATGTTACGTTAAAAATTAAGTAATACTTATAATTAACCTTGTTAATTCCCAACATAAAATTTTTAATTGTTCAATCATTAAAATATTAGCTGTTTCAATTTATTAAGACTTTTCCTTTCATCATTTTTCACCTATCGTTTTATATTTCATGGAAAAAAATCCATTATTTTCAGGATTACAAAAAAATGAGAAAACATCGTTGATCACGTACCTGCCAAGCACCGCCTGGTTGGCCCTTACCAAGGACAACGTGGTCCACGATCCTATGCTCGAGATGTTCGTCAGCGGAAATCCAATTAAGCAGCGAGGGCACGTCGAGTCCGGCATCGACACACGGATGCTGCAACTGATCCATGAGAAGAGCCAGTGGTCGACCGCCGCCTCTACCCTCGATGCCGGAGGACAGGCATTCAAGTTTGCAGCGTGTACTGCACACTAGCGCACCTCCTTGCGTCCTGCTGACACCAGACTTGGAGCACTGACGACGATTGTTAATAGTTACATCAGTGTTCGCATCGTCCGGCGTATCATCGCACTCCTCATTGCTGGTCGTGCAAAACCGCAGTCGTGCTGTCAGCATATCATCGCCAGGATGAGGTTCGCCGGTATAGTAAGGCCAATTTCCGGCGAGCATATACGATAGACATATCCCGCTGGGTCCATTTCCTGAAGACCAGAAATTGTGTAGAATCTTTACTATTTTGACAAACGACTTGAATTATGACTGCTGAGACTCAGAGTTATTTTTATTAACCTTCTCACAAGCTTTTTATTTAATATGCTCTTACAATAAAAATTTTAGCTTTGTAGGAAATTAATACTAACATTGCTGAACATGACAAGATAAGAAGTTCATTGGTCTTTGATAAGTGATAAGTGTTAAATAAGCATATATAAGCATATTTAAAAAATTTGATTACTGGAGAATTGAGAGTTCACTTTAAAAATAAAAGTAAAATTTTCTCATTTTCAATCCATAACAAACTAAGTTAATGTAAGATACGTTATTATTATTAAATTTTCTCAAGACATTTTATATATTTACCTATGATGACAACATCTTTATAAATGACATCGTTATCGTCGACCTCAAATATATTCTGCATTTTTTCTTTTTGTATATTCGATATCTGTGTAAACCCAATTTTCCTGCTCGTTTGGCTACTGCAAAGAAAACGATTATTTTATTGTAAAAATGTTATGTAACATTTTATGTGTGTCAATATACATAAAATTATGAAAGAGTAAAAATAGTGCATCTGTTATTGTCATCATTTTCCTGAAATAATCTTTATTTGCGACGATCATTTTAACATTAGTCACGTTTATAACCAGTGAGATTATTACACAAGAATACTTATCATTACGCGACAGCCAATTTTTCCCCGACGAGTAGATAATCTCGCAGAATTTTCCATATTTCAAAATATTAAAGAACAAATCTACAGATTATATAGAGATAATATATTTTTCTATTTTTAATATAATTGAATATACTAAATATTTATTACATATATATTGCATTCCACAATTATGTGAGTATAAAAAAGATAAGCTAAATACGTATGCCATAAGTCTTCTACGCATTAGTTAATTACACAGTATACAAAAAATCGATAAGATAAACGGAACGTACTTCTTTTCGGGTGACTTTGCGACTTATGAATGTAAAGTGTTACAAGTGTTATCTCTTCTATAATCAATGTGAAAATTCTTGTGACTATTCATAAATTGTGCAGAATGTAAGGTAAATGTAGTTAGTGGAAATGATCTAAATTTTAGTTTAATATTAGACTTTTAATGACGTGTATGATTTTACATAAATTCGTTGTGTATAAAAATTTAATAAGACAAATTTATTTAGTCATATATATCATTAAAAGCTTAATTTTAAAATTTTTGTTTCATTTCGTACAATAATTAGATAATGTCCACTAACTGGTACGTTTACCTTTCAATCGCTTGCGTTTTTTGTCGTTAACATTTTGAAGATAAATGATAATCATGTCGTGAGAAAGTAAAAGTCATGACCTTCGTTGTAATTAGCGATCTTCGTCAGGTTGGCGTCATGTTTCCTACTCTCTAATACTTAACTGGTTCCCGATATAACCCGATATAATTGCTGTGACATGAATCAGCAAACCTTCCTGCCGATCGGCTGTTAATAATGGCCTGATTGCTCAAATGAGCCTAACGACATCTTAAAAATAGAGATAAAAAAACGTAAAAAACGAAGGAGAATAAATAAAAAGCTTGAACTGGAAATCGTAAAAATTCGCATAAAAATATTAAGTATTAGAACTCGCCTTGACCAAATATAGCTCTTTTCATTCATTTGAATTGAATAAATAAAAAGTTATTAGAAATAATATTATAAATACAATATAATAATAATTACAGAAATAATAATATAATAGAGATATATAGAAAATATAGAAATATGACAAAAATTAAATTATTATTTACGTTTGAGGATGAATAGACACATGAGAGTATAGAAAGCGTCGTTAAAAAGAGTCAACGGGATGTCTAGTTTATATGCATAATCGAGAGAGATTAACTCATGCATTTCCCTCATTATGTACCCGTCGTTTCTACTCGAGATCACCTATTCCGCAAATAACTGAAGAGAACGTCTCGATAATTTGTAGCGCGCGCACTCATGGTCCATTTTCATTATAATACTTAACAGTTAAGAATAGCAACGTTACTCGAGAACGAAGATCGACGATGGAGACAAGAATTGACAATGATCCAACCATTAAAACAATTCTATCTCATCGCGAGATTAACAACAAAGTGTTAGTATTTGTGATTATAATTACGTAAAGTAAAATAATTATGGTTCGGAGCTATTATATATTTTTTTATACAAAATCATATAGAATCATTATTAGTAACCTTATAACAATAATATAAGTGTAATGATTATAAAAACGGAGCTTCTAACTATAACTAGATACTTATTTATCTTGCGGCTACGCAATTATAGTCATAAATACTAAACACTTTCTCTTTCAGTGTATTGGTATTATCGAATGTATTTATTTTTATGAGAATACAGTTGGAAAATTTGTGTTAATTAGGAGATAGTGTCTCGCGTACATTTTACATAATCCAAACAATCCAACGATTCACTCAAATTTTTATTAATTTAACACAAGACAAATATATTAGAAAGTAAATATTATGTAAAAAAATTAACATACAAAATATAACACTGACACAATTTGTAAGCAGTGATGTTTTTTTATTGAATTAACATTTATAATATCTAAAATTAATGTTTCGATAAATTTAACATTTATATGTTAAATTAATACACTTTATTTATCTCAAAATTTATATTTAAAAAAACATAATTTTTATGTTATTTATTACTTATAAATTGTGTTATTTTAAGAAATATTAATATCAATTTAATACAAAAAATTCAAATAATACAACTACACTATTAAATTAATACTCGGATATATTAAAAAACACAAAATTTTAACAAGGACTTGAATAAACCTTTTCTAACTCAAATAAAAATATTTTTTATTGTGAAGAGATCTAAAATAAAAAATTGTCGAAATAAATAAACATTTTTATGAAATAAAGACTGTGGGAGTGTAAACGGAAGGATGAAAACAGTCACAATTTTAAAGGTCAACGGCAAAAAAATTATTATTTCTTTTTTTATCAGACGTCGTCAAAGAAAAAGCTACTATATTCTAGTGGCATTTCTGGAGAGAACACGGAGGAATCTCATCACGAAATCTATCGAAGATAAATGGCAACGATTATTGCACACGAATACATCGATATCGATCGACAGAGTTGACAGTGTCCTACTAATGCACAGGATGATTCTATAGTTGACAATGAGGCTTTATTCACGACGTGTACAAATATTCAAGCAATCGGTTTACATGCTCTTGCATGTCACCGGACGACAGCGGTTTTACTGTTCGCCGCGAGAAAGCCAAGATCGATGGAGAATAACGACAATATAATCTATTCCTGCATGAAAATGACAAGTTATATAGCAACGTAGAGTATGTCGAATCGATGAATTACTCTCAAAGAAAATTATTATCATTACGTATAATAAAGGTTAATCAGATAATCGAAGACCATTTCCTCGCGGTATTACAACGTCATCTCCAGTGTTGTGCAAGACACTTCATTTTTAATACCTAAGTACAGATACAAGTAAATTTTCTATCCTAGAAAAAATCGAGATATAGATATAGATACTAGAAAAACAAAATACTTAGGTAAAGATATCAGTGTATCTAAGTATAGATATATTTTTATTCATTAAAACTTCGGAATAAATAGGCATTTATGATTTCATATATCCACACATAATATTTACGTATTATACGTATTTGATACATATACATACATAAATATTCTACGTAAGTAAGTTTAACATGTTGCATATTAAAATAAAGTAACATTTATAAAACTATTAATTTTATTCAAATAATTCGTTTAACATTTATGCAGTTTCAAAAACATCAAACATTCAAAATTGTCAGCGGACAAATTATTTCGTCACGGCGATATAATTTGTTACCCTGCACTAGCAAGTTTGATAAAAGTATATTATATTTGAAATATAAGATTCTTTTACTGAGCTTCGCGCCTGTTGAACGTACATTTAATACAGGAAAGTATCAACTAAAATCTAAATATAAGTACCGGTACATAAGAGACCTGTTCTCTTTAGTTTCTCGCACGGTTCATCTTTTTTTCTGCAACATGGAGAGAAAAGGAAGAAAGATGAACCATGTCAGAAGTTCAACTAAAAAGAATAAGCCTAGAAATTGTACCTAAATAGGTACAACTCTGGTCACCTGGCATTTCAACCGAAATTTTATTTTTAGAATTATTATACATTTCCCCCAAATACACCGGAATTCCCGAAAGATATCCTATTATCATTAATTTTATTGTTGTCGGAAAAGTGAGAAAAGTTTTCTCTCTCATTCAGTTCTATGAATAAGCGATAAAATTGTTTCGACACGACGCAAAAGCAAGCAAAGTTCTTCCGAACCGACATATCCTTTCCGACATTTATCATTTTAATTTATTATCCGCTAGATTAAGATATATGAAATAAAATGTAGAATGGAAAAAAAATTCACTTCGCAGAATCCATTAAGACCGCGCAAGATGTAAGGACGTTATATATTAACGATCGCGAGTTAAATCGATAACCACCTGAATACCTCCTTTCACAAGATACGTATAAGTACAAAACGATGCTTGGTTGGGGTCAACTGGTCACAACTCGATATATATCCGGTTTACGAATATAACTATATATTTACGAAGGAATCAGATATATGAAATCTCTACTGAAATTTTAATCACGTTCTATGTCCAATGTCATATCTGTATTAAACCTTTAATCATGTATTTTGTATCCTATAAAACGAAGAGAACTGAGCTATGTATGTAAATGTAATTAGGGCAATTAATTACAACGCGTGATCTATACGGGATATTGAGGCTTCAATTGGATCATTCATATCCTACACATTTTTTTTCTTTGAAAAACTAAGAGCATCAAGTAATTAATTATAACATTTGTATACAATTATAAATATATATAATATTATAAATACTTTCTAAAGATACCTTCTAAAGAATATATGTAAGAATCACTTAATATATTGCACATTTAAAGTCATAAAAATTAAATTGGGACACGCGAACGACCCATCATGTGAAATGAAAGACTGAAAAATCATCGTGTATACAAGAGTTAAATGTACTCGGTAGCTATAATTAACAACATTTCATCTCAAACTTTTCAACGTACATATATTCTGTCTCTATAAAAAGAACATAAGTTGTGCAAATATCGATCGTCAAAGAAGAGTGATTATCTTAAAAAGATGACACGCGACTTTAAACATGCAACATTACATATAATGTACAATTGAAGTGTAACATGGTTGTTGATTTTTTTAATATTTGATATGATATAATCGAGATTTTAACGCAATTTAAACGCGTTGCTGCTGCATCTTTACGACATCGTAACAGGTGCGTTTGTAGGTACATTTAGATATCTGCTACCATTCTAACAACGCGGGCGCTTCGCGCATCTTCTATTCTTAATCAACGATTATTTGCGGCGAGAAGCGAGTCGAGGCGCCTGAACG